GAGATGGGGTGAGGAGGGTCTTGGGCACAGAGCCTCTTCTCAGGGAGGCAGGGGCCTATGGAGGACTTCAGTGGGGTCAGGGCTGAGGCGTGGGGGTTAGGGCCCTCACCTCCCCTTCCCTTCCCAGAGCCACCTCTTTGGGCCACCATCCCCCCTGTGGGCCTGGTTGTGGGCGTGGTCATCTTGGGAGCTGTGGTCACTGGAGCTGTGGTCACTGGAGCTGTGATGTGGAGGAGGAAGCGCTCAGGTAGGGAAGGGGTGGGGCCTGAGTTCTTGTCTCACTGGGGGTTGCCAGCCCAGGTGGAAGTGTGTTCTGCTTCATTAATGGCAAGTACCATCCCCACACGTGTGGTTGCCCAGTGTGGGGCCCTGTTTGCTGACACTCACTCTTTAGTGAGACACGTGTGGAAATGAGGGACAGATTCATCACCTTGATGATTCTAGTGATGGGGCCTGGTTCCCAGCACTCCCAGGTCAGGGAGGAAGGTCCCTGCTGAGGACAGACCTCCGGAGGGTGGTTGGTCCAGTCCCCACACGTGTAGGTTCCTCAGGTTTCCTGATCCTGCCCTGGGTCTGTAGTCACAGTTCTGGAAACTTCTCTGGGATCCAGGACTAGGAGTTCCTTTAGGACCTCATGGCCCTGGGTCCTCCCTGTCTTCTCACGGGATGTTTTCTTCCCACAGGTGGAAAAGGAGGGAGCTATGCCCAGGCTGCCAGTGAGTATGGAGGGTGACCCCTGAGATCCTGTGATAGTACAGACTGGATCCCATGGGGGACCTCACCCCCATAGTTCCTCCCTTAGTCTCCTCTCCTGGGGGCTCTGACCCCGTCCTGTTTTGTTCTACCCCAGGCAGCGATGGTGCCCAGGGATCTGATGTATCTCTCTCGGCTTCTGAAGGTGAGACTCTGATGATAGCAGGGGTTGGGGCGAAAGGGAGAGGACTGGGTGATGGGGATTCTTTGGGACATAGTGAGCCTGTGGAGGGCTGTTGAGAAGGTCACTGCTTACAGCCACTGAACTGAGTTTGTTCATGATCATTTTCTTCCACAGAGTGAGGCACTTGTCCGGGACTGAGTGATGAGAAATTTGTTCACGCTCCTACTTTGTGATTCAAGAGCCTCTGATTACTTTCTGCAAACGGCATCTGAATGTGTGTGTTCCTATCAGCATAAGGTGAGGAGGTGGGAGGCTGGCCCACCCCTGACCACCACACCCCCTCCCCAGCCTTTCCTGTCCAGTAGAGGTGGGGCTGGGCCCTCCCCATTCCTGTTTTTACTTCCTGGTGCGCTCAGCCGCAGCTTCTTACTGCCTGATTAAAATAAGAGTCTGGATTTGCATTCTTCTTCACTTCTTGCCATGAAGTTGTGATGGGTTCCTTAAAGGAGAACAGCCCGGCTGGTGTGGTCAGTGGCTGAGTGTCCACCCAGGAACCAGGAGGTCATGGTTGGATTCCCTTTCAGGGCATATGCCCAGACTTCAGCTCAGTTCCCACCAGGGTCATGCATGTGAAGCCAATGGATGTTTCTCTTTCATCATTGATGTTTCAGTCCGTCTCTCCCTCTTCTTTCCTCTCTCTTTGAAAATTAATAAAAACATATTTTTGAAAAAAATTATAGGAGAAGATCCGAAAATTTCAGAGGAAATAAATGGAAGCCCCAAGAACTGGTCAGGACCTGTGTGTTTGCTGTGCTGAGGCTGCTGCAGGGGGGACAGGAGAGGCTGTGAGGACCGAGTGTGGTCAGGGCTGTGCCCAGTTGGCTCCCTGGTCTCTCTTCAGCTGGGTCACCTCTCTGCTCCTTTGTTCTTCTCGCTTCAGGAGAACCTTGTCCCACCAGGACTTTCCATAACAGGGACTCAAACCTCCCCAGTCCTTGTAAATTGTCCTAATGAGGAACATCTCCAAACCCGTGGGCAGCAAGACCTTCCTGTGTCTGGGTCAGCCTAGGGCCTAGGCTCAGGCCTGGGTCCTGCCCTCATCCCTTATCTTCTGGGACTGTATTTGTTGTTTCTTTGTTTGTGTAGAGCAGTGGTTCTCAACCTTCTTGCCCTTTAAATACAGTTCCTTATGTTGTGACCCAACCATAAAATTATTTTCGTTGCTACTTCATAACTGTAATGTTCCTATTGTTATGAATCCTAATGTAAATATCTGATATACAGGATGGCCTCAGGCGACCCCTGTGAAAGGGTCGTTCGACTGCTAAAGGGGTCGCAACCCACAGGTTGAGAACCACTGGTGTAGAGGATTGTGCCTGTTTGTGTTCTTGTTATGAGTTTTGGTCTCATTCTTCTTTTGAGTGTCCCCTATCCAACATCAGCAGAGATGAGTTGTCTGTCATTGTGCCCACAAGGCTCAGGGGTCCCTGCACAGAAGAGTCCATGGTATGGAGAGATGAATTTTCAGTCTCATCCTGCTCTTCACTCCTTCTAGGAATTGATTGTTCTTTCCATCTTTTCCTAAACTCTCCAAGGAACCAGGTTCTGGAATTAGCAGGGAGAAGGGGTCCTGTAACTGGTCATCTTAGATAAGTTCCTATTGGAATTCCTCTCTGCTCGCCCACCCTCTCTCCCTGCCCTTCCCTCTAGCGCTGGCTGCAGTGGGAACCCTGGGATTTCTGAAGCAGAGTCTCCTGTAGATTCAGGGAGAGCCGCTCTGTGGGAAGAGCAGGTGCCCTGATGTCAATGTGAGAGCTCGCTGTGCTGTAGCTGCCACAGGACAGCTGTGTCTGAGCCACGTTAATGAAGACGTGTCTCTAGCATAGGGAGTGCTCTACACTGAC